GTTCCAGAAGTCCTGAAAAACACAGTCGTACAGATGATCGTTCTCGTGCACGTAGTTCCAGTCGTTCAAAGCGCACTCACCATCGTAGGTCTTCTAAGGAAACTAGCAAGCGCAGTCGAAGTCGTTCGCGTTCTCGTTCTCGCTCGCGCAGAACTCGTAAGCGCAGCAAGAGCAGGGATTCGTCACGTGGGCATGGGCATAGCGACAAAAAATTGTCTTGGGAAGAAACCGCGGCAGCCTTTTTGGCAAAACTTGGTGACCCGAAAGCTGCGGCTAAGGTATTGGTGTCCACAGCAAAAGCAAAAAAAGTCCCAGCACCCGAAAAGGTCACGTCCAAATCATTCGTCGATGAGAAGATCAAGCAACTAAGAAGTTTAGCGAGTCCTGTACCCTCAACTTCAAAGGAGAAAGCTGAAACTCATTTGCAGACTGAGTCTGATGAAAAGGCACAAATGCGTAAGTTATTGGGCGTACTCATTACCATGCAGCAAGAAGCGGAGAAGAGTGGAAACTTGGACGATTCGGTGATCGATAAGCTTTACCGAGAAGTGGGTCTGAAAAAGTCGAACCAGACAACCAGCGACCAGTTGTTGGCGCAAATATGCGCGGAAATCATGCAAGGAAGTCAGTCCACAAGTAAACCAGCCATAGACTTGCAGTCATTTGGCATTAGCGCTCAACCTGCACAGCCAGCACCAGTTTATGGCGGAGGGATGCAGTCGCAAGCGGTGCCGCAGCCGAATCAGCAGTCTACTATACAGCTATTACTGTCTGAAGTGAAACGATCTCTAGGGAATCTGCAGCCTCCGAGACCGCAGTCTCCACTCATCAAATCTCCTCCTTTCGTCATTACGAATAGAGATGATGTTTTCCCGAATAATGAATCAGTTTCGTACGTTTTTCCGGGCACAGACTCGAAGGAGCTTAGGCATGATTCCGACGTGGGCCCATCGCGACCGGAAGAGAATCTCTCCAGAAAGGAGAAGGCAGCTTTGCGGAAGAAGAAATTGTTGGAGGAAGCCGAAAGACTGAGGAGACAAGCTGAAGAAGA